ATATATGTAAATTTTGATCCAAAGAAGGTACCAGAATTGTGAACATCAGTGAGTAATTTGTTTAGCTGCATAACTGTGCACATAATTAAAACAATTACTATTTGTCCACTATCACCATGTTTTTGTTATTTAAAATTATGAGAGCCAGTTAATTGGCAATGACTCCAAGATATTGACCAAAAAAATTTATCATTTACTACATTGTTTCTTGCCTACAAAATGGCACTACCAATTGTTTTGTCAATTAAAAAGAAATTTTTTTACAATAATTTTGAGAGTTCAACTCAAATAAATGGGTAGCATTTACATCCTCTGTTGTTATTTTCTAGCCCAAAGACAAAGGACCACTACTTTCTTGATTAACTGAGCTAATAATATTGTACACATGTGAAGCAGCTCAATGTTCAATAACTAATTAATTAATTATATACCATTTTGAAAGATGTGTAAGTTCAACCCTATGAAGCTGCATGGGACAAAAGTCTTATAAATTAACATAAATCACCACCACATTCAGATAGGACCATTTTTTCTTATATAACACTATAAATTGAAAACAATCAAGAAATGTGATCGTTCAGTGCAAAGGTTCAAAACATTAATAATTATAAAGGGTTGGTTTGAGATTAAATGTAGCACAGGCCTGAGTTAATGTTGGTCATTTGACAAGACTGGCAGAGATTAATGAGGTAAATTTAAAATACATTTCAACTCAATTTTTATTACTTATGTGAGAGTGTCAAATTACCCAACCCCACATTTTTTGTTAAAATGTAAAAGGAATTGTTGAAACTTTCATTATGTCTGTGTTATCAACTTGTTCACCATAAACTATCTTGAGCTTTATAATGAAAATATGACCTTACGGATATTAATGAGAACAAGCATTGCTCAATATGTGTCAAGCCCTACATTAAGTGTGTTATAATCATGATGTCTCTTAACCCACAGAAATGGCCTATGAAGCTGGTGCTATTACAACCTCCATTTTATAAATGAGGAAACTGAAGCTCAAGGAGGTCAACAAACTGGCTGAGTTTCACAGTGTTAATAAAATAGGGTTAGAATTCACTGCCAGCTCAGTCTGATTCCAGAGTTGGCACTAGGCTATACTATATCTCATATCAAGCCTCCATTTGATTTGTTAATTTAAAATAGTAGTGTGGCAAAACAGCTATTATCAGAACCCAAAGATCAAATGGACTCCAATGGTTTAGAGGTGAAGTAGTATGTACAACTTTTGGGGACATACCTTTAGACATTTAACACTATCTTACTTGGTCACAGAGGAGTGGTGATATTTTATGTAGCGTTCTCATATGAGGTTAGAAATAGCTTAACATTAGGACAAACATGTAGTCATCATTTGGTTTCAATTATGTATATATTTATATAGCCTCAGGAAAGGCAACTATTCCCTTGACTCATTTCCCCCCTGAGGGCAGTGTGGGCCTTCCTGTTAGATTTAGGTTGTATATTAGGACACATACAGCAGTGTCCTCTGGAATAAATATCTAGAGTAAGTAGTCATTCACAGGCTGAATGGAATCTATAAGTGTGTTTTGTTATGCCCCTGTAGTGTTTGTTTTTATTTAATTGACTACCCACATTTAAAATGGTAAAATTTTACAGAAAAATCTAGTTTTCCATTTTATCTTGATAAATAAGATTTAGCAAAACTAATCCCAAATTCCTTCATGGCAAGTCCTTGACTGGTGCTGAGTTACAGTTGCCCCTTTTAGACAACTGGAGGTCAAATATTCTTTATTCAGCCTTAAAGCCACTGCATCCACCTGGTCCCCTTTTGCCATCTAGGTGGCTGCTCCTGATCTAGGAAAGCCTCATCCATCAAACAGCTTCAGAAACCTCTTATGCTGAGTAGAAGGGATAGAGAGAGAGGAAGAGAGAGAAACATTGATGTGGGGGAGACACATCGATTGGTTGCCTCTTGCACACACCCCAACCGGGCCAGGAATTGAGCCTGGAACCGAGATACATGCCCTTGACCAGAACTGAACCAGAGACCCTTCAGTCCACAGGCCAACACTCTAAGCTAAGGTGAGCTATTTTGAGAAGGAAATATTAATGTGATTCCACTCATATCACTTGATGCTACTATGCTTTTATTCCTGGTGTATGTGTGATATCATTGAGTTGATTGTTGCTGCCTTAAAGATCTGTGATGTCTTGTATATTAGGTAGATATCCAGTTTTCATGGAAGACTGAGGACATTGTAATGCATAATGTATGAAGAAAATCTAAGTGGAGATTCTGTTTGTGTTTGACTTAGAATGTTGTTTTATGTCACCATGCAGGTCATCTTTTTATTGTTGCGTTAATGTAAGACAGAGGAACTTTATGAACTTCAACTACTTTCTCCAAATACTCTTTCAAGAAAATATGATGTCAACTAATTAAAACCCTGAAGTATCTTTATAGTAGTCATAGATAGAAGTGATGAACATTAGTTGATGCGGTTGGAACAAAAAAGTGACCACAGATATGTGAGAAAGTATAGACAATTCATCCTTAAGTGCATAAAATTATTGTACAATCCATGTTTGCTAAATAATTAACCTCTATTTTGTAAACCAAAGAAAGCTCACCTATGAGATCATTATATCACAAGGACATGAACATTGTTTAAGTGATTGTAATGTGTATTTTGACAAATGGTCACATAATCAGTTTGTCATGCTTTATTTAGACTATGTGTGAACCTATTATTTTTATTAATAAAGCTGAATGAATTTGAATGTGTTCACATATCCAACCTCATTTAAGGTTGTCTGTAAGAATATACTATTTGGTAATGCAGTACAATTATGTCATTAGCAATCCAATTCCCCAGTGGCTTAAAATATTAAATAATGTAAAAAGATTTTTCCATTATTGATAAACTTTTCTCTTTTTTTGTACCTACTGGGACATTATGATAGTTACAATAAAGATTACATGACATTTTTTAAGGAAAAAAAAAAGAAACCTCTTATGCTCATTGATATGGAACTGATTTTGATTTTGTGGCCCACTGTGCTATTTGCACTTCCCTTTTGTTTAAACGTACTGATACGAAAAACAGCAGGAGCATGGCAAAAACACCATGATGGTGGTGCTGAACACAAAAATACTCTGTAAGCAAGCAGGTGATTCAAATCTCTGAAAGGATTGTTTACAATGATTACTAGGCCACTAATATATATTTATTTCATTTTTAAAGAAAGTCATTTAAAGGTGTTGATTCATCACTTGCATTTTTAATAATGTAATATCTAAAGTCAAATGAATTTAAAATTTAATACAAAATGATTTTCAGTGTTTAATTTTAATCCATATAAAGGCATTCTACTTTGAGGTTCTGAAACTCTCTATTAAAAACTCTTCATAGCCCTGGCCAGGGTATTTCTGTAGGTTGGGTGTCATGCCATGCACCAAAAGGTTGCCAATTTGATTCCCTTCCTGGTCAGGGTATATGCCAGGATTGTGGGCCTGATCCCTGGTAGGGGGCATGCAGGAGGCAGCTGATTGATGTTTCACTCTCATATTGATGTTTCTCTCTCTCTAAAAGTCAATAAAAATATATTTTTTAAAAACTCTCTTCATATAGAAGATTCATGTGTAACTATTTTATATGATATATATGAAATAATAAAATACTTACATGAAACAATCATACTATTATACAACATAAAGTTACATATATACATATGTACTTATATTTATGTATATTCATTTTTACATGTGTACATATATATGCATATATCCTTCCAAACTATTCTTACTTTAACTCTAAATCACAGTAATATTTTATATCAGAAAATTCTTACCTCAGCCAGAAAAATAACTAAACACCAAATTAGCACAAAAATTAAGTTCTTGTGGACAGTAACATATCTAAGGTATGTGTTCCATGTAGTCACTGATGGTATGCTCTCCACATCATCAAAAAAGCACTCCTGAAGAAAGGCATCATGGTTACTACAATGAGACTATACAGTTTCACATCACCTATGTGGTTTTGTTTTGAATGCTTAAAAATAAGAAATCACTACTATTTAAAGTTAAGTGAATTTCAACAAATACAAACCATTATGACACATGTGGTGTCACTCCACAGCCAATATAATGTTCACTGGAGCAACATAGCTTTTTGAAAAATGAGAAACACTATAATTCTTCAAAATTCTGAAAGCGTATCACTGATTATGTAACTATTATTTTTGGACAATTTTACCATTTTAATGCTTACCAGTGTCACACCTTTAATCAAATGAACAGTACCATCAAACTAAAGCTTCCCAGAGCTCTCCTTAATTATTTAAGTGGGTCTATGGAAAAATACAGTTTGGAATTATACTAGCTGTAGAAATCTCCCAATAGGACCTAATGCCAACTGATGTTTGCACATTTCTCAGTAGACTAGGATTATCTCTCTTTCCAGCTATGAATTAAATCACATAATTCTACTCCTTAATATATTCCCCTAGAAGTTTTTATTTGTCCTATTTAGATGCATTTCAAAAATTTGAAAAAGAGTGATTATAGATAGTCCAAAGGCAAAGGATATTTTTGTTTCTCAAGAACTCAACAAAATTCACAGAAGCAGCACTAAAACTTTAAAGAAGGGGTCTTATGAAATTGGAACATAGCACACTAGCTAGGTATGAAGATTTTTGGAGTCAAATAAACCTGGCCTTGACTCTGGACTCCACATTGACTTTCTAGATGCTGCTTGAATTTAGACAGTTGAATACCTCTAAACTTTTCTTTCCTTATTTGTAAATGAGGATAATGATGGGTACATTCTAGGGCAGTAATGGGGACTAAATATGTGCTGCCTGGAGGTAGAAGCAATCAATAAATAATAACTAGGTATTAAAGAAATCATTCTTAACAACTAAATTTATAGACTCAGGTTTGAGAATTCATTCAGACTGATATTAAAACCATATAGATAAGTTATCCTTTAGGAAATCTTTTTTAAAATTATAAAAATACTGAAAGTAATCATTTTAGAGATAACCTATTGTGTTCCTTTATTTTACAAAGAGGGAAACCTTGGCCCAGAGATGTTAAATGACTTGTGATTGCCAAAGGTCATACTGCTCTTAATCGATCTATGCTATTAAACATATCAATTCATCACAAGTCTGCCTGTTTCATCCAAGGTACTTATGGAATTTTTCTAGTAAAAAGTAAACAAAACCCCTCCACTTATATTGCTTCCTATTTAAAAAATAAAAGTATTTTATTCATTAAAACTTAATGTAAAAAATTTTCTGTCTGAAGGTTTGTGCTAGTATGTTGTTTCTCAAGCCTTTTAAAAAAGAAACCTGTGTAGAAATCCAATGTATAAAGCAGATTTAAATGGTAAAAAAGTTTACAATAAATGTAAGTTAGTCCTGTTAAGAGACTAGATGTATATATGTCTTACATACAAAAATAGTTCTTGCTCTCTAAATAACTGCCACTATTAGTTTATATTTATTTATTTATACTCCACCTCTTCCCACAGAGATTTTAAGATGGTAAAAAGGCAGTTTTATAATGATTTTTAATAATTTATAATTTTTCTAATTTATAATGATGATTACCACTGATCTAGTAAACCCAACAAGAGCCCTTGCTTTGACAATACATTTTATGGGAAAAGATACATCCATCATAAGAGGAAATAGTTGACTCTTTTACATTTTTAAGTTACTTACATAATTATGAACTTTGCATTTTCAGAGTCTTAAGATAAACCTCATGCTAAACCCATAATTTGAGTAAGTTTTGTAACATACTATATATTGCATTGCACTCAGTTGTTTTCTGTGGCAAGAAACAAACAAAAAAAACACTAATAATTTATACACACCTTTAAATCTTCTTCATTAATTTCTTCACTTATTTCTAAACTACTATCTTGAGATAAACGCCTTGAATATATATTCATTTCCGCTAAGTCCCCCTGAGGGGCCAGTGACATTTTCCGTGTGGATGCAGCTCTGTTTCGGTGAATGAGTTGACCTTGGTTCACTGAAGAGCGTGTCATCAGGTTCAGGACAGACTGCCTCCTTCGCCTTTGAAACGTGGGACCAGTGTTAATCACGTTACTTCGGGGCAGGATAGCCTCTCCCTGCTCAGAGTCGGGAACCAAGGACAGCCTTCTCTCTGAAGGCTCTTCAGAATCTTCTTCAATGCCATTCATTTGCAATGGAGTCTTTTGCACAATTGAAAATTTTTTTAAAGAGTTGATTGGATTGAGAATAGAGTTCTTCCTATTTTCACCAAACTCTCCAGTCTGTTTGAAAGACTGTTTTTTTGTTTCCTTCCGGGGGATGGCAGCATCTCCTTCTAATGAGAAACGCCGTAAAGTCTCAGTTAGGATTGAATTTCTTCTTTCTGCACTAAACTGGTCAAAATAATCATACCCCAGGATCTTTGAGTTGAAGTCAGGCCGTAGATTTTGTAATTCAGAAAATGTCCCATAAAAATAGCTTTTACCTTCATGTAAAATTAATATTTTGTCAGCTTTCTTTAAATGTTCCATTTTAGAAGTGACCAAGATCCTAGTTTTGTTAGCCATCAATTTACAGACACAGCTTTAAGAATAAAAAGATATAAATATCAATTTTATGAATACTTTATTACAATACTATATGTACTTCATTTAAACATTTTATCAATGTATGGTTATATAAAACCTCTATAATACAATGTTATTATATTTTAAATAATTCTGAAAATAAATAGCCAATACTAATCAATGTGGTGACTTTTTGAGTTACTGTAGCATGAAATACTGTATTATTGAATTATTACAGCATGCTATATTATAAAGTTGAGTGTTAACAGACCTATAATGAAATTAAATATATATTAAATAAACATTTGAGCTTGAGCAAATTGGTTAACCTCTGGTCTTGGTTCATTCACCTAGGAAATGAGAAAATTGTTAGAGGGCCTTAAAGATTCCTGGAGGGGAGGTCTATATTTCTATGTATCTTCTAAAATGTCAGAGCTTTCTTGTTCTTTAAATTTTCTATTAATTTCCTTTTACATTTTAAGTTGACCACCAATTTAGTTCTCAAGAGTTTATATTAAGACTAATCTGATTTTTTAAACCAAAACCAACAACAAACCTAAGAACTGAATAATAAATTGACCCTTCTCTAATAAAATTTTCCTCTAGTCAAGAACTAAATCCAGAATAGAACCATCTAAGGGAGACAAATTTCTTTTAGGCATTAAAACATTATATATTGTATAGAATGAGGCACAATTCTAGAGTGTACTCTAATATACTAACATAGCTAGCAAAGTTTATATTGGTATGAAGTTACTTATCACAGTCACTGTATTGTAAAAATAGTATGTTAGGTTTTAAATTTAACTAAATTCTAGGAAAGGTGCTTTCAGGAATAATGCTGCCATTTTATACACACATACATCTATATCTTTTTTGCTAAAATCTTTCTAGGAGAATATTATGACAATTCTCATAATAAACTATTTTATAGTCTATGAAATTAGTTTGAAACTTTGAAATCAACTCATACAACTTGATTGTCTCTCTTTGGAACTTCACATACTTTGAGCCCTATTAGGAGCTCCAATAAAATGTAAATTCTGAGCTCTGTGTGACTGAGGACAAAATTCTGAAGGAGACATTGAGTTAGATGTATAGTCTAAGCATTCACTTACAGTAAACATTAAAACATTCAGCTTATTTTATTCCTTAAGTTTACTATCTAAGGAGGAGATACGATAAAATACTAACACCAAAAAAGCAAGTAAAAACTTTAAGTATAATAACCAATTAAAATAATGTCAGAAGTCAATAATATTGTAAAAACTACATAGTGATTATTAAAGCAATAGCAATGAGGGAAATTGGTTTAGCATGAGGTCAAAAATTTTCATGGAAGTGATATTGAATATTGACTGTAAAGAGAAAATGAGATTTGAGTAAGCACTATGTTACACTCTTTCACAGAGTCACAATGGCGGGCATATTTCTCAAGTAATAATATGCAGTCTATGATAATACAGTCATTCTTTCTTTGTCTTTTAGCATGAGCATTATGTTATTCAAAGAACATACCTTTCAAATATTTCTTTTTCTGTTAAAACATCTAGGTATCCGAAAGGAGAGTCTAATAAGTACAAATCAGCATCCTTATATACTGCTCTAAAAAGAAAATGAAAACTAAATTAGATTTCCTCTGTATTTCCTATGTCATGTAGTGTAGATGATTTTAAATGAAGAAGAGTAAGTTATATATGATTTTTATGGCTTTTCACAGCACTCTCCAAAATTGCTGACATGGTTTTGCTACATACAAGTGACATAAACCAGCAAAAGTTAAAAACTGAATCACACCATACCATACAATTTAAAATATTACCTTAAATAGAAAAAAAAAAGAACACCTTCCAACAACAGAATCTAATTAGAGCAAAACACAGTGCTATATGCTGTAAATATAATGGTAAAAATTACACAGTCCCTGTCCTCAAAGATTTTGCATTTTGGTGGGGGCTAAGAGGGGGGCAGAAAATAAAATAATTTCAATCATGTAAAATGTCAGAGACAGCAACTAAATTGCAGCACTTATGTGAAACTATTTCTCTTTAATGTTTTTCGTTGTTGGCTGCTACCAACTAGTTGACAGCTGTACTATTGTGGCTATATGATATGCTTTTTGCTCCTTCTAATCTCAGTCTCTGTACCATATTCATAAAAATTCCAAACAAGAAAAGAATGAATAATTCACAGTAAAAATGTATACCTATATTAATTTACTTTTTAAGTTAAAAAATAAAATATTATGAGCAAGTGCATTCTTTATAAAGTTGATTGTAGAACAGTAATAAAATGAAGATATGATCCCATATTAATGAGAATGAGATTTCTTCATAACACTTAAAGTTTTCAGGCATGGTTGTTAGTAACTTTATCACTACTCAACCACAGAGAAATCAGTGTTTATGTATAGTTCTTGGCCCTTTCTGTAAAAAAAATGTGTTCAATCAGCAGGTTTATAAAAGGAAATACAGAAATGGCAAAAAGTCAAAGTAAAATCTAAAAGAACCTTTCAGTGTAAATTATTTTTAAAGATAAAATGCAAGAGCTAGCCCACCTAGTGTGGCTCAGTGGTTGAGCATTGTCCTAGAAACCAAGAGGCCCCAGTTGGATTCCTGGTCAGGACATTTGCCCAGATTGCTGGCTTCATCCCCAGTGGGGGCGTGCAGGAGGCAGCCAATTGATATTTCTTTCTCTTCGATGTTTCTATCTCTCTATCCCTCTCCATTCCTCTCTCTAAAAATCAATAAAAATATATATTTTTAAATGCAAGAGCAAGATAAAAGACCCCCATCAAAATATACTCTCAAGGTCTTCCTTTCCCCACTTCATACTTCTCTCTCTCCTTCACATCTATCACCACAGTTAATAATATATTCATCATCTAAAACTGGACAACACATGTCACATTCCAATAAAAATAAAAATAATTATTTTTTGTAGTACTTCAAACTGTGTGCACCTTACAATAAAACCAAATTTTAAACTAGTAAATACAAACTCGATTGTATGTTGAACATCTAGAAGCCATGTAGCATATCTTACCTAAGTATTAAATGGAATATTTAAGGTAAGTCTTACTTGAGTTCACAGGTAAATTAATCAGCTTCCATTTATTTAGAGGCCATTATCTTTTCTGTGTATTATCAGTATCTATTAATTTATTTCTTCAAATTGTAATCCCAAGATCAAGGCATTATTTTTAAAAATTTATCTTTATTGTTGAAAGTATTACAAAGATCCCCCTTTTTTCCCCCCACTGACTCCCTCATCCCTGCTCCCACCTCCTCCCCAGGCCTTCACCTCTGCACTTATGTAGAATGAGAGGACCCAGTTCAAATTGTAACTTCACCATTTCCCATTGTGGCTTTTGGCAAGTTATATCTAACAGCTTCAATTATCTCATGATTTCTATCATAAAATGAGAGAACAAACCTATCTTCCAGGGTGATATGGGGATTCAGTAAAATTACAGACACACACACACACACACACACACACACACACGCATGCACGCACGATTACACCCCACCTAAAATATTACTAGGCAATTGCAGGTACTCAGTGAGTCAGTTTTCTGTTTCAGCTTTTAAAAGCACGGGGGAGCCCAGCCAGCATGGCTCAGTGGTTGAGCATCAACCTATGATCCAGGAGAACGAAGTTTGATACCCAGTCAGGGCACATGCTGGGTGCTGGGATTTGGGGGGGACATGCAAGAGGCAGCTATCAATGACTCTCTTATCATTGATGTTTCTATCTCTCTTTCCCTCTCCCTCTTTCTAAAATTAATAGACATACTTTTGAAAAATTAAAATTTAAAAAAAGCAGGTTAGAAAAAAGTAAGGAAAAGGAGCCAAAATATCAATAAGTCAATGTGTTTTCTTATTAACAACTTCGGCAATACAGTAAGAAGAATTTTGTTAGAATATAACTGGAGGAACATTTGACATCCCATTTCATCAATAATTTTTTAAACTGAACGTGAGAGTTTTACAAAATTTTCTTCTTAACAGAAATTAACTGCATGTACTTCTCTCTTTCACAGCTCAAAATGCTTAGACCAAGAATGTCTCTACTAATGGAACTATCCACCATAGTGTTCCATGTGCTTGTGTTGTCATTAAAGACTACAGACTTTACGCCAAGTGATATCATTTGCCTTGTCATTCTTGTTATGAGAATTATTATGTTGAAAATTTTGAAAATATATGTTTATCTAAACCAAGAAGCATAAACAGAAGCCTAGAGCAAATGTGTTTATTGTGGGGTGGGGATGAGCAGGGCACTGTGTGATGGACTTCACAAAAATTTACATTGTATCTTTCCTTGTGCTATGCAGAATCGCAGAGTTTGCCTTTGTACTAAAACATACCAAAAGGTAATCAAACATACAAACCCCAAAATAAGGGCATGAGTGGTTTTTTGTAATATATCTCTATTGACTTCAGAGAGAAGAAAGGAGAGGGAGAGAGAGAAACATCAATGATGAGAGAGTCATTGATCGGCTGCCTCCTGCATGCCCCCTACGAGGGATCGAGCCCACAACCCGGACATGTGCCCTGACCAGGAATCAAACCGCAGTCTCCTGGATCCTAGGTCAATGCTCAACGGCTGAGCCGTGCCTGGCAGGGCGGCATGCATTTTTATCAGATATGACTACTGTATCATGATCTGTAATTCTTAAAGGTGATTCTTAACCAGCTAGTCATAAGACCCCAAGCACTTTTCGATTCCAAAGCAGAATATGAAAAATAGAGAAATATCTATAATTTTACAAGCATGATTATTTACAGCAAATGCTCACTGGGCCAATAATCAGATATTCACCTTGCTAGAGAAATTCTTGCTCGCTGCCCTCCACTCAGTGTGATTCCACCTTCTCCAAGGACTATATTGTCTTTCTCTGCAAACTTGGAGATGTCCTATTATCAAAAATAGAAAGTAAAAAAGGAATTTTTAGAATGTTGGATCTGAATTTGCAAGGTACTTTTTTCCTTCAAATGTAATTATATATCACACTACTGCTTTTAACCACAGCTGAATTTTGAACACTGCATCTTGATTATTTCAAATCCACTTCAATCTGTCAAAACATTGCTGATTTTGAGAACGAAATTTTTGTTTAATTTTTAAAATACCATTAATGATCATTAATTAATAATTGGAAAATATAGAAAAGTAAAGCCTATGTATATTTATGGGTATGTAAATATGTATGTATATTATCCATAGGTCATTATACAAACCTAAGTTCTATTAATGTGCTCAAGTGCACTTTCTTCCAATTTAAATACACAGTTTTGAGGGAATGTCCAAAACTGAATAAACCTCTCAATAAGAGAAACTAAATGAATGCTACTTACATCCCCACCTTCATCATCCCCCCTCCATCTCCCCCATCCCTGCTGCCGTTGCAGTATCTAAACATATTTAGTGGGTAGCCATGGGTACAAGGCAACTCCTTTCTATACTTCTCTCACCCACTCACCCACCCAACACCTCACTCCTGTGTTCTCTCCCCATCCACTCTGCCTCCCCTGTTAACTCCCTTCCACATGGGTTGTGTCATCCTTTCTCTCAGTTAATGAACTTTCTGTGGCAATAAACATTGTAAAAGCATTGTAAAGCATTGTAAAAGAAGTTTAGAATTTATCAGAAATAGCATTTGACTCCAAGTCATTCTAAATCTAAGCCATAATTCTGGAGAATATTTAATAACATCCAAAAGATTTCATTAACCATGTTAATAGAGGTCATAAAATAGTACACAACTTACAAATTAATTGTACAGATAGATAGAAAATGCTGGAAGACTTTCTGAAAGAGATGGGGTTTGGCCTGAGATTTGAAGAGTGGGAAGAGTCAGATAGGTACTACTCTCTTTAATTCAAAAAGGTTCTTTCCCTTTTCCCTTCCTACCCCTGAACACCTGCTCTTTTCTTTTGTTACTACCTTCTTCTCTTTCCCTTTATTAAAAATAAACTTCCATACTCTTCCTCCTTTTTCTTTGACAGTCCAGAAGCAAACCACCATCTCTCTTTGACTTGTCAACACTATTTATATTTAAACTGTCAAATGGTTACTACAAAACTCTAAACTCACAAAGGAGGCAAACTAACAGTGATCATTTATATTAAAAACTATTTCGCAGTTCCAGTAGACTGAAACCACTCTAATCACTGCCCACAAAGAACTGTTACTATTAACAATCCTGAGCTGGGGTGATCAAGGGAGCAGTATCAAAAACGATGACATGTTGGAGGAGATTTAGTAGGATAATCCCCACTTCTTCCTCTGGCAAGCATCAATCTGTTCTCTGTATCTATGAGTTCAGGTTTTTTTAGATTCCAAATATAAGTGAGATCGTACAGAATGTGTCTTTGTCTGACTTACTTCATTTATCGTAATGCCCTCAAGGTCCATCTGTGCTGTTGCAAATGGCAGGATTTCCTTCTCTTTTTTTTTTTTATGGCTGAATAATATTTGAATATATGTATATATACCACATTTTCTTTACCCATTCATCTGTTGATGGACCCTTAGGTTGCTTACATGTTTTAGCTATTATAAATAATGCTACAATGCACCTGGGATTGCAGATATCTTTTTGAGATAGTGATTTCACTCCTTTCAAATAAATACCTAGAAGTGAAATTGCTGGGTCATTTGGTAGTTCTATTTTTAATTTTTTGAGGAACCTCCATACTATTTTCACAGTGGCTGCACCAATTTACATTCCCATTAATATCCTTAAGTATTTTACGATTTTCTACTATTGTGAATTAAATAACTTTCGATTTACACTTTGAGACCATTACTGCTAGTATAAAGCTAATCTACTATACAGCCATATTATATTTCCTTGTTACTTCTAGCAGACTTTTGTTTTCTGTTTGTTTCTTTACTTTTTGCTATAATCTCAGGGTTTTTTAGGTGAACAGTCTTTTCATGAACATTTAATATTGTTCCTATTTTAATACAAATGGTATTAACATTTTGCCACTTAAAATAATGTTTACTTTGGGAAATTACTGTATTTATGAAGTTTCCTTCTATTTGTATTTTGAATTTTTATTAGAAATGACTGTTGAATTTTATACAAGATTCTTTTAGCATTTACTGACCCTTTACTTGGTTTTCCTCTTTGTCAATATAACAAATTACATTTTATTTATATATTTTTTTATATTGAATCACCCTTACATTCTTATCATAAGTCTTGTTTGGTCATATTTTTTTTATTTTTATACCATTCTGTATTCTATTTATAACATTTTATTTGAATCTCTATATCATAAATATGACTATAGCTTTCTTTTTCATATTATTTTTTCAGATTTGGATACTAATACTATTTTGGCTTTAGAAAATGAACTGAAGAGCTTTCCATCTGTTTCTATGGTTTGGTATAGTTTAAATAACATAGGGAATGCATGTTATTTAAAAGTTAGATACAGTTCAGCTACAAAATCATCTAGTGATAGTGTCTTTTTTAGTAGACATTGAATCACCTTCACAATGGTAATGTGTCTATTCAACCTTTTTTATGATTCTTTCTTCCATTTTGATCATTTGTATTTTGCTAATAAATTATCCGGTTTCTCTAGGTTTGTTTATGGGGTGTTTTTTTTAGGATTTTAAGTTTGGATAGCAGTTGTGATAGTTTCTGGTTAGATATACTATACCTATAAAAGAATATGGTATTTTACACACCATTAAAATATTATTAAAGAAAGCATTGCTAAAAAATCAAGTTTTGTCTAATGCTTAAAACATCTTCAATTTCCTACCAGTTTAAATCTTTTTAAAGTAATTTTGAAGACCTCTCCTCCTATGCTAAGACAGTATTAAATGTGAAATAATCTTATAAGAGAAAATACTTGTGTAAAAGGAAATAGGGAAGGAGGAGGCAGGGAATGCTGGGAGGGTTGTCAGACCTGGATACAAGTCCAACTCCTGAGTGAAGGCGAGGACGGTTGGATGGGAGAACAGTAAATCACTGTTGCAGTTTAAGTCTAAGCAAGTTTTGAAAAGCTATCTGGGAGTCTCTGAAGCAAAATTAGTTAATAAATAAGTCCCATATCTTTCAAACACAAATCTGTATGCCTGCCACACTCAGTCATTCATGAGAAGCAGCCTGCGGAAGGAGCAGTCTCAAGACAAACTCAGTGAGTGAAGGATTTTGACACATAGCAACTGGGGCCCTTCTTCAGTTATGCTCCCTACAACAGTGGTCTGTAAGGCACATCTCACAGTCACCGTAATACCTTACCCCTCAAAACTGGCCAGGGATATGAAGTCAGAATGGCTAATAAACATGAAAATATATATACTCTCAGCATCAATTAGGAACTACAAATTAGAAAAATAGAGAGATACAGCTTTTTGTAAATTAGAATGGCAAAAATTAAAATCTCTGTCAAAAACAAGAGCACACAAAAATGTGAGTCAATGGGGGTTGTCATAAATGGCTGGTGGTAGTATAAACTGTGATAATTAAGGGGCAATTTGGCAGTATTTAGTAAAACTGGAAAACTGGAAGTATATATATCCTAATACAGCACAATTCAACACCTAGATATCTACACCAGATATCTCTTTGTGTATGGAAAAGAGAAATATTCAAAGGTATTTATTACTGTAAAATCTTAGAACAATCTAAATGTTTATCAGTAGAAGAACAAGTAAATAAAATGTGACATTTGAGTACAATACAGCATTTTAAACAAATGAAATAAATTTCTACATATAACTAGCACAGCTAGACCTCAAAAAGATAATAGGAGCAAAGAAAGTAAGTTAAAGAATGATCTGTACAAAGGATGGCATTTATGTAAATTTTAAAGCCATGCAAACAAAACTACTAAATATTGTTTATGGATAAGTGTGTGTTTATATAGGTATAAGTTATTTGAAATGAATTGGAAAAGTACATATCACATTCATAATAGTGATTGCCTGAAACCTGGGGTTTTGTAGAAGAATGATGGTGAGAAGGATTTGTCTAAGCCCCTAACAATGCAGTTAAGAAAGCAGGGATGTTGTCATATGAATTTCTGTCTAAAATAGACACTAGTGAGACAGATTACTTTTAAAAAGCATGAAAGTAAAAGATTCCTGCATACAAAAAGATTTGATATTCTGAGACAATGTTTTTGGCCTCCTTTTTGGACTAAAACCACTTATGAAAAGAAATGTGCAAATTTAGATAATTTAACAAGTATTTCAGAGATTGTAATGAATAAGAAGCTACTGAGACTGAAATAAGACAAAATAGTGGAGGTAGAATAAAGAGAATTGTGAATAAGTCCATTATTTTAAGATCAACTGTGTAAATAATACCAATAATACCAATATCCTGCTGCTAATGTGAGCACTTGTTCTGATCACCTAGTTTATTGTACATTTGTAGATTTCTTTATTAGTGTTTGGCTTTTTCTGTTTGATTTAACATAAAAGACTTTGTTTTGTATGCACTGTAAACATTTATCTTTGCTGATTACTAAGAGCACTCAAATCTGGCAATATATTTATCTTAAGGGTGTTGGTTTTCACAGCAGATTTTTGCTTCTGTGAAAATTATAATCTAAAACAGTTATTCCACTTAGTGCTATCATAAATTTAGAAAGTAGCCTAAAAGCAGGAGCTTCTAGGAGACACCTTGCACACAGAGACAAATTCTATTTCCTTTTCCTCACACAGAAACTTCTTCTGAATTCCCTTGGAGCTATTCATAAAAATTGTTGAGGAAATAATTAAATGGAACTAAGATGATGGGTGTGAATGGCTTTCTTATATAAAAATTAACTACTGAGATTACTAAGTCTCATTGTGGTTATCATTTTGTGGTATATACGAATATCAAATCATTGTGTTGTGCACCTGAAATGATTTTATGTCAATTATACCTCAATAAAAACAC